GCTCTGACACTTGTTGCCAATCTTAGCTAAGTTCCTAGAGTTGCTGGGGTTAAAGTTAACCCCTGGCTGTTGGCAGAGGAGCTGCTGTGAAGCAGACAGCCATTGTTAGCAATTAACCTTTAGAGCTGATGACTGTCAGTTCTCATCTCTTAAGCTTATAATTTTATATTTCTATATTCCTGGACCCTGCATTCCCTCCTTGAGTTACAACCAGAATCAAATCTTTGATTCTTCTAGGTCTAAATATGAGCCAGATTATGTTCTTGAATGATTTATATATAAAAAAATTTTTAAGCAATATAATATTCTCTTTGGTTTTGTATAAAGAAGTGTCTTATCTTATTGTAGAATTACTTTAGTTAGTGAACCATCAATTGACAACCCAGGGCCCATTTTCTTGGTATATCAATGGGCATTATAGTTAGACAATTTGACCCCCCTATGGCAGGGGGGTCAAATTTTGGGAGCAGGGATGATGTATTCTCTTCTATAACTGCTTCAAGCTTAAGAATGTAGTTGGTCAGGGCCCAAGAAGGCTAAAAAGGCTAGTCAAAGGTAAGGAGGAAATTTAGGCATTGAGGCACTTATCAAAAGCATCTGATTTGACCCAGCTGTAGACAAGGATCAATCACATTGGCTCTGTTGGTCCATGTCAGCTTTTAGCAAGTCCAGAGCAGTGTAGTCAGCAACAGAAGCTTGGAGGTGTCTGTCAGCCAAGGGGAAACCCGTTGAGACAATAGGATTTTTTTTTTTACTGTTTTAAACTAGGAACAGAAATTTAAATTTATCAACTTATTTGGAACATTTAGACCCACAGTCTTAGTAATTGGTAAGGGCAGGAGTCCTAAGACCAGGAGACCAAAAGATACCATCCTTAGGAATAGACAAGTGGGGAAAATTTAAGCTGTATTTATCTGGATTCCTTCTGACTTCTGTGAAGTGGATGGATGCTAATTATGACATTTTTAATCCCCTGAGGCCTACATAAACTATATTACAAAATGACATAGAAGTTTTAGATACATTAGTATTACCATTATGTAGTGAAATCCATATTGTAGACAAAGCAGGTAATGGGTATCAGCAAAACAGCAGAACTGGACTCATAACTTTGAGTCCCAACAAGAACTACAAATTTGGGTTAAAAGCATGCACATTTTTCTTCTGTCCAGACAGCCAAGTATAAATTAGACAGAGATTTTTGGCCTGATGAGAAGAATTTTTAGTTTGTATTTAGATAACACCTAAAATAAATCTAAAATGTTGAGCTTGTGACTAAACAGTAAGTAGTCATTGATCTACCAACTTATCAGGACTCTATTAAATGTTAAGCTCTGAACTGATATGTCATAAAACAGGAAATTAATCTGAAACATTTTTATAATCTAAATCATTTATTTATATTTTTATAACTTGCACTTATATCTTAAATCATTTTTTGAGATCCTCAAAGCTTATAAGCTTTCATAACCTCAGACCATTTTAGATCCATATTTAAACCTTTGTGATTTATTTAAACTTTCATATCTTAGAATATTTTCTTTAAAATGAGCTAACAAGCTGGCTATAGCCTTGCAGAAGGATCTGGTTGTCTGATGCTGCCAAGCTGACAAACTTATAGCTAGCCTAGCTGTCAGTACTATCAGAGATCTGAGAAGGATAAATTATATCTGAGTGCAGACCAATACACTTCTAACTCTACAAAAAATGACAGAGACCTGTCCAATATCCAGTTAGCCTTACCCAGGTCTCCATAGTGTTGGAGGCAGAAATATCAGAACAGCATCAATCTTTAGCTGCCAAGTATATCGAGACTGAGTTTCTCCTGTAGAATAGGGACATTGAGAAGACTGATCTTCTTTTGTCTAGGCAAAAGGGGTGCAGTCAATTCTCCAGTGTCCTGTTGCTTATCCACAGTCTGGGCTGGGTCCTGGCATTGCATTGGGGACTCTTGCCCTGTGGTCAGCATTACCATAATCCAGGCAGAGACATTGTGGTGCCCTGTATGTAATCTTCTTTGGAGACCTTGGGTCACTGCTAGGATCTGGGAGTCTGTCTGATATAATAAGCTTTTAGATCAACATTTTAAATGCCATAGTCTGCAGATCTCTGACATATGAGGGCTGTCGGGAATATTTGAATAGACAAACTTTGTTTTTGGTTATTTTAAGCTCAACCCTGAAAACATACCCAAGGGACTGGGTAAAGCTTATCTCTATAATTAATTATATCAGTGCTTAACAATTAAACAACTTGATTATTTATGATTGAGTGTTTATGTTCTCTAATAGTCTACAATAAGTAGCTTAAAAACAATGATTTTGAATTGAAGCTCTTGTATTATCAAATACAGGTTCAGTAAAGAAACCAAAACAAAATATTGATATAAGACATTTATATGATTCAATTTATCCAAATAGCTTAAGCTTAACAAATTTAGCAAAGACAAGGAGGCTAGACAACATTCTTAAGTCTGAATAGACCTTGAGTAAGGAGAAACATTTTCCAAGTCACTAGTTCTGAACTTTCTCAATGTTATTTCATAATTGCAGTTTTGCCATTGTTGAATCTCAATACAAACATCTAACATACAGGTGGTCCTAGGCTACCCCTGTGAAAAGATGTTTTCAACCCCCAAAGGGTCAAGACTCATGGAGTCAGAAGCTGTTCCAAATCCTTAGCCTAGCTCATAGTCTTGCTGCATCTCAAGAAATGAACACCCCAGTTTCTGGTTAGTATTTGGTGCTTATGGCTGGGACCCTAATTTTAGCCTTTTATTTTAAGTCCAAATATAATCAGTCTAAAGCATTCTATAAACGTAAAAAGTTCCATAGCCTTATAAATTTAAATATTTTAAAAACTGTTCTTAAGGTTAAAATCTCTCAATCGTCTTTCTGCAATATGAACAATAAACTACCTTCTCTTACTTTAAGAGGGAAAAAACATGATATCACTAGATCCCAAATAAATCACACATAAGGCTTATTTTTTATAAATGCCCAGCATTAACTTGGCTTGTTTCCAGCCAGATTTTCTTAACTTAACCTATCTATCTTTGCCTTTGGACTTTTAACTTTCTCTATTTCTGTGTGCCTTTGCTTTCCTTTTTACTCCATGTCTGGCTGTTTAGCTGGGTGGCTGGACTCTGAAGTCCTCCTCCTTCCTCTCTCATTCCTTCTACCTTTCTTCCAGATTTCTCTTTCTATTTCTTCTCTCTGCCTGATAGCCCCACCTATCCTTTCTCCTGCTCAGGATATTACCACCCGTCATCCATGATAGGGACAAAAACTAGCTGGAAGGAAAAAGGCCCACCTTCTGTGCACATCCCTTTTTCCCAGGAAGACATTCTGAGCCTCCACCTAGGCCCCCAGCAACTCTAGGGACTCTGCCAAGATTGGCAGCAGAGTGTCGAGCCAAGAATAGGTGAGCCACAGGTTTCTACTGCCACCCACCTCACTCAATCCACGCCATTCATGCCTCAGTTCTTCTTCTGTGAAATGGGGTCTGCAGTCTCTAGTCTAAAGATGCAGTGCTTAGTGTCTTAGGGTCCCTATTGCTGTGACCAGGACCTAAGGCAAGTTGGGGGAGGGTTTATTTGGCTTATACTTCAGTCTATCACTGAAGAAAGTCAGGGACAGGAACTCAAACAGGGCCAGAACGTGGAGGTAGGAGCTGGTGCAGAAGATATGGAGGGATGTTGCTTAATAACTCGCTAGCTCTCATGGCTTGCTAGGTACATTTTCTTACAGAACCCAGGACCACAACTCAAGGCTGGCTCCAAATTCAATGGGCTGTGCCCTCCCCCATCGATCACTAATTAAGAAAATACCCAACAAGCTTACCTAGAGCACAATCTTGGGGAGTCTTTTTCTTAATTCAGGCTCCCTCCTTTCAGATGACACTAGCCTGTGTCTAATTGACATAAAACTAGCCAAGAAATGCCTGACATGGGGCTAGGGGTGGAAATTGATTGGTAGAATGTTGGCCTAGCATGTGCAGAGCTCTGGGTTGGATCTTTAACTCCCCATAGAACAGGGCATGCTGATGGAATCCCAGCACTAGAGAAGATGAGGCAGAAGGATCAGGAATTCAGGGTCATCCTCAGCTACAAAGTGGGTTTGAGAACAACTGGGCTTCAGGAGACACTTCTGAGAGAAAAAGAAAACAAGGAAGGATGAGAGAGGGAGGGAGGAGGAGGGAGAGAAATGGCTGACATGGCACAGGTGCTCCACATGTTTTGGGGTCTAATGAAAAGAATCTGCCTTGTGGTTTTCAAATAACAAAAGAACTATTTACCCGGTCTTCAAGGCACAGGGTGCTGCCATCATGAGGGTACTATAGGACTGCCCTGTTAGGCCTCAGAAAAGCTGAGGGGAAGTGCTAAACAGATGGCCCTGTGGGTAGTCAGACCCAGCTTCCCTTGGGAGACTCAATCACGGTTTATATGATCTTGAACACAAACATCTGAGGGGTGCGGACTTGTTTTCCAACAGAAGAAATTTAGCCCAGGTATGTCTTACCTGGAGAATCCACTAGGGCAACGGTTGGCAATCTGTGGGTTGCGACCCTCTTGCAAAACTCTATCTCCCAAAGTATTTACCTTACAATTCACAACAGTAGCAAAATTACAGTTATGAAGTAGCAGAAAACATGGGGTCACTACACATGAGGAACTGTATTAAAAGGTTGCAAGCATCTGGAATATTGAGAGCCACTGCCCTAGTACCAGGGGCTTCACCTAGGTTCCTGATGGAAAACTGTTGGAGAGGTAGTGATCAGGGCACACATAGAGAGCCCTGCAGAGGGCTAGCCTGAGGAAACAGGGCACCTGATGAAGCCAGACAGCTGTTTCCAGGGAGTTGAGCTCCTGGCCCAGCTGAAGAAGAACTAGGTTTCTCATGCCTCACTCTCCCCACCCCGCTGCAACCTGTGATGAGTTCTCCACCCTGCCCCTGCAGGACTGCATTTTAAAGAAGCAGACAGCTCAAAGGCTCTGCACTATGGCTGCCTCTCCTTGGAGACCACCCCCAATCACTCTGATCTGTATATGTCCTGGTTTCTACGAGGATGAGAACGAGAAACTCTGGATGGTTGTAAGCCTGGGCTTTAGAGACTTTCATCCAACTGAAAACAGGGTAAGTTTGGGGACTCCATGGAGGCTGTATCCTTATGATTGTCCTTGTGTTACAGGGTGTGTGTGTTAGGCTGATGCTATCAACATGTCAGAAAACAGCTGATACTGGTCTGTGAACAGAACCATGTCCTCCCCCGTGCACCAGCCACAAGAGTCCCTATTGGAGTCCCCACAAGCACAAGCTTATCCACAGATGGTGGGGGCCCTTGTGGTGAGGCCTGACTTACCAGTAGATGGCCTAGTCAGAGGGAGCATGCCAAGAAAGCTAATAGATAGGAGATTTGAAAGGCTGGGCTTTGTGGGATGAGTAGGAGTTCTCCAGGTCAGAAATAAGGCACACACTTGGAAGGAGCAGATGGGAATGGAAAGCACTAGCTTCTGAGTCTTCTGCACATAATGACACACCAGCTGCTATTGTCCTCAAACTTGAATGTCCTGGGGAAGCATTTAACAGGTAAGGGTCCTTACACTGGAAACTGATTGGGGCCTTGCGGGAGGTCCTAATGGGCTAGTGGATCTGCTGATGACATAGATAATCACTCTGAAAACTGCTCTGGGCTGTGGCTTTAGACCACGATGGAACCTGGGAGGCTAACATGCTCTGTAAAGCTGTAAAAGCATTTCTAGGCATCAGAACTGCTCCAAAAGGACCAAGGATGTCACTTGAGCAAAGCCCTTGGTTGTTACGGCAGAGACTAAGGGTCCTTTCTATGGTACCAAGTTGAGGGGTGTTCTGTCTTATACCTGAAACAAATAGTTGAGGTGCCCATTACCATGTTAAAGTGGATGCTGGGCTCTAGGTTTTCCCAGCATCCCTCAATCCCTACCTGTTACTAGGTATGGTCACCTTACCCTGCCCTCTACCATGAACTCTCCAGCCCAGGGCCTGTGCCTCCTCCTGCCCCCTCTTCCCTCTCCAGCCCATCACCTCTGGTCTGTACATAACTCAGACATTGGCTATGTCTATGGTCCAGGCCACCCCACTTGGTTGGCATCTCCTCTCCCCTCTCCTCTTTCTTCTCCTTCTCCTCCCCTCTCTCCTCTCCTCACATGGCCAGCCTCACAGTCCTGTTCACTCTGGACTCTCCAGATGTCTCTGCCTCTGGCTATGCTCTTCCTTTTATCTACAATAAGCCTTCTTCTCCACCATACCTGGGAGCAGTCAAGTCCTTCCTTTTTTTTTCTTTTTTCCATTCATCTGGTGCTGACATGATATGATAATGGACCTCAGTTTGTCCCAGGTTTGAAACCTAACAAGGTTTAATTCACCTATTACACCATTAAAAAAATCAAGTTAAGTGTTTTTCTTTAAACCTATACCAAATAAAGAATGGAAATTTTTTGGACCAAATATTTTTAGTATAAAAAAAAAAGTAAAGAATTCTGTTGGTGAGGATGTAAATGAAGCGGCTTCCATGGGAAACATTGTGTAGTCAATTAAATTCAAATAGAGTCACCTGCCTCCCCGCCATCTCAGGTTAAAGTAGCTATTGGCTCCAAGTGTGCATGGAGGGGCAGGTGTGGCAATCAGAAGAGCTGCTGACAGCTGAGTGTGAAAGGGGCGGGGCTAATCTGATGTCTGCTGTGAGAGAGAGAACCTGAGGTCCCCAGGCAAAGCTGTGGCTAAGGGACACATGCACAGGAAGTGCCCACTGGAGTGGCCTTGAACTCACTTTGTGGTTCAGGCAGGCCTGGAACTTGTGATCCTCCTGCCTCAACCTCCTGAGTAGTTTGGGATCCCAGGTTGCAACACCAGGCCCAGCATTGAACTTCTCTCTTTCCTCCTTCCCTTCTCCCTTCATTCCCTCCTGTTTCTGTCTGTCTGTCTGTCTCTGTCACTCCCTTGGTTACTATACTAAGCAATAGGTTGCATTGTAACATTTTCACACACACACACACACACACACACACACACACACACACACACACACACACACGGCAGAAGCAGGCACATCTAAGTTCAAGGCCACATTGGCCCATATAGCCAGTTCCAGGCTAGCCAGGTCTACACAGAGATCCTGTCTCAAACAAGCACACAGATCATAAGCAAATAAATAAACCTTGAAAACAGAGCCCTGTGAGCCCGAGTTCGGATCCCAGCAGCCACATGAAAAGCCTCCTGTGGCTTTGTTGCCTTTGACTTCAGTGCTGTGGGGGCGTCGACACAATCCCTGCTTCAAAGGCTTAAGGGGAAAGTGACTGAGCAGACACCTGAGTTCTCCTTTGGCCTCTTCAGGCTGGCATATGTGCATCACACACACTCACACGCTTTCACACTCCCATCACACATACTCCACTCACACGTTCTCACTGTCACACACATACTCTGTCACACACTCTCACATCTCACTCTCTCACATACTTATAACACAGGCACTCACAACATGCACACTCTCACACTCTGTCTCTCAGTTTCTCACACACACTCATTCTCTCACACTCTCTCACACTCACACTATCTCTTACACTCACTTTCACACTCACACATTCTCTCACACAGTCTCTCACACACACTCTCTCTCACACCCTGTCTCTCACACCCTGTCTCTCACACCATATTTCTCTCACAAGCTGTCTCTCTCACACTCACACTTTTCCTCTCTTACACACTCACTCCCACTCTCTCTCACATTACTGTGTCACATACTCTCACACATTTTCTCACACTCACACACTCACACACTCTTTTTCTCACACTCTCTTTTTCTCACACTCTCTTTTTCTCACACACTCTTTTTCTCACACACTCTTTTTCTCACACACTCTTTTTCTCACACACTCTTTTTCTCACACACTCTTTTTCTCACACACTCTTTTTCTCACACACTCTTTTTCCGACACACTCTTTTTCCGACACACTCTTTTTCCGACACACTCTTTTTCCGACACACTCTTTTTCCGACACACTCTTTTTCCGACACACTCTTTTTCCGACACACTCTTTTTCCGACACACTCTTTTTCCGACACACTCTTTTTCCGACACACTCTCATTCTCACACACTCTTTCTCACACACTGTCTGTCTCACACACACACTCTCTCTTACACACACTTTCCCTCATGCACTCTCACATATGCTCTTTCACACTCTCACAAACTCTCACAAACACTGTCTCACATACACTCTCCTGCATTCACACACTCTGACATTCACCCACATTCACATGTTCTCATACATTTTCACATACACTCACACACTCTCACATTCACTCACAATATCTATACACTCACCCATGCCTGTGAGTGTGCATATGTGTGAGTGTATGTCTGAGTGTGTGAGTGTGTGTGTAAGTATATGTGTGAGTGTGTATGTCTGAGTATGTGTCTAAGTGTATGTGTATGAGTATGTAAGTGTATTTATGAGTATGCATGTGTGAGTGTGTGTGAGAGTGAGTGTGAGATCCCACATACAGTTGCAGGTTAGGACAGGACCATCTCAGTGTGATCTCAGCAAGGATCATCCGTTTTTTCAATCACAGGCGTCAGAGGGAAGCTTTTTATTTTGCAGGCACTGAGGACCTGGGAACACTCTCTTGGCCACATTAGTGCAAAGCATCCAGAAACTGTGGTAGTTTTTAATAAAACGTGATTCAGTACAAAAGTAGGTGACTAGTGAGTGTGGGTCCTTGTCCCTTCTTGGATACCCCACTTCCCACCCAACTTAAATCAGAATACACACAGGGGCAGACTCTCACAAAAAAATTAGGGTGACAACTGGGAAATTGTTCTGCCACAGTGTCACAGGTGAGAGCGTGTGTCTTCAGCTTATAAAACTGCAGGGATTTCTCAGGAAGACAGGAGGACATTGGTAAGGAGTTTGTGACATGTTTCCTGCTCTGTGAACAGACCTAGCACTTGGTTAAGGTTTATAGTGACTGTTTTCTTCCTTTTTTGTTTTTGTTTATTTTGATTGTTTTGTTTGTTTTGGTCTGTATTTGATACAATGTTTCTCTCAGTAACAATTTTTTTTTTGATTCTAGGTTTCTCTGTGTAAGAGTCCTGGCTGTCCTGAAACTCACTATGTAGACCAGGCTGGTCTCAAACTCAGAGATCTGCCTGCCTCTGCCTCTTGAGTTCTGGAATTAAAGGCTTACATGACCATGCTTGGCTACAGTGACTTTTTCATTTTGTAGCTTTCTATGTTGGCTCAGGTTTATGTTTTGCATTTATTAAAGACCCATGAAGCTCTCCATCAACACTACATTGCATTTCTTCTGGTAAAGCCTCTGCCCCGGGCCCTACTCTGTGAGTGCACGGGCAGTACATGTGTTGAATGTTCAGGTGAGCTGCTCTAACTCTCTCTACCTCATCTGCCTGAGGCAACATCTTTCACCAAATCTGGAGCTAGACTGGCAGCCAGGAAACCCAGTGATCAGCCCACCTCACCTTTCCACCGCACCAGCACATGCATGACTATGACTTTTTACATGGGTGTTGAAGAGTCACACCTAGGTCCTCATGTCTGTGCAGCAAGTACACTTACCTATGGAGCCATCTCCCCAGTGTCTGTCTTATTTTTCAAAGGAGAAAATTCAAAACTCTGGAAATGACTGAGACAGAGCCCCAGGGGACAACCCAGTACCAGGAAAGGTGCTGTGTGGCTGGAGACTGTGGCTGCAGTGTGGGAGATGCACTGGGGATGAGCAGGGATGCTGGAGGGAGTACTGGGTCAGAACAGGCAGAAGAGCAGCAGACATCAGGGTCCTGGGGAAGACCTAGGTGTTGGGAACAAGGCTGTGGTTAGGGCTATTGTAACATTTACCTCTAATCTTGACCTTTGCAGGAATAAAGCCAGGCCAGCACCAGCCATGGCTGCTGGAACCTGTCCCTAATGCACCTCTCCCCTCTACTCCCTTCAGCTTGAAACTACACAGACTGTCCACTTGTGGCAGTTGATAAGATCCCACCAGGAGTCCTTGAACCCCATCCCCTTTACTATGTCCTGTCTTCCCAATATATGGCAGCAATATTCCAAGATATTTTACTGGGGGAAAGACTCAACGTTCTGGCAATTAGTGGACCATATCCAGGTAAGTGTTTGGTACCTCACAGTGAAAGCTCGAGCAGGAGGGGTGTAAAACAGAAATATTTTCACCCTGTCCCACCCCGAGGGAGGCGCTCCCTCTCTCTCTCTCTCTCTCTCTCTCCTCTCTCTCTCTCTCTCTCTCTCTCTCTCTCTCTCTCTCTATATATATATATATATATATATATATATATATATATATGTGTGTGTGTGTGTGTGTGTGTGTGTGTGTATGTATATATATACATATATATATATATCCCTTATTTATTCTTTATGTCTTTCTCATAATGTATATCCATCTCCTTCATTCCCCCATCCCTTCATATCTACCTTCTGCCCTTGTATCCTTCCCCTGAAAATAAAATAAAATTTAGAAGAAAGAAAAAAAAGGGAAAAATCAATCTTGTCATAGAAGCTGTAGTGTGACACAGTGAGTCACAGAGTGAACACTTTTATCCATGTATCTTTACTTTGAAGTGTTCATTGTAGAGTGTTACTGGTCTATTTCAAGGCCTCTGGTTTCTGCTACACTATGGCCCTCACAGGAATTTGTCTGGGTTATCCTGCTGTTGATCTTTGTTGTGGAAATCCCTCCATCTTTGGGTCTGGAGGACCAGTCTCTTCACATGCTCCAGAAGACCATAGATGGGGTGGATGCTGGGGTGGCCAACCCATAACCCTGGTTCTGGGCCTGGGTAGTTGCAGGGTTGGTCATCATGTCAGCTCTCCCTTGTCCTCACCACCAGGGTGAGCTCTCCTGCATGACCTGGGCTATTTTTCCCCTTATAAAAATGAGCAAGGGGCGGGGCCAGTTCTCCAGCTTTCAGATGCTCAGGGTCAGATCGCCCACACCTGCACATTTAGGGTCAGTTAGATTGTGTTGCCCTAGGGACACTCTCGTGAGTGTTGCACCTGATGAGGGGCAGAACCACCTCTCCCCAGGGAGGTTATTGACTCTCCTTCACTCAGATCTACAAGGGCTCTAACAGGGTCTATTTCTAGTGGAAAATTTGAGAGGGTTGTTGTGTAACAGAAATTTTCCCACCAGAAAACACATACTACTCTACTCATACCAGATAGAGAACCCACAACAGACCAAAGAGCAGATACCATGAATGTCCATCTTGGTGAACCATTGAGTTTTATTGGGGTTACTTATAGGAATCTGGGTGAAGGATCACTTACAGGAACAGAAATGACTCACAGAAATGCATCACCAAAGCCCACCCCAGCATGGGTGACAGACAGCTCACAAAAGCCAGCACCCTGGAGCACACTGCTCAGCCTGCAGGCAGCTCAGCAGGTTACAGAGGGTCCTTTCCAGGTGCCTCAGTTGGGCTAAACCCTTCCAGGCAGCCTGGCTGGTTTCTGCTTCTTCAGCGTTGCTCCTCTTATGTGGGAGTCTTTGGGCCTTGGCTCTGCTTCCTCTAACAGGAAGGAGCCTAGTGAATCTGGTCAGTTTTAGGGAGTTCTTGAAGATATTTGTGGCTGTTGACCTCCCTACCTAAGGAGGAGGCTATTAGTACATCAGAGGGGGACAGAAAGGGAGAGAGAGAGAAGGCATCTGTGCACATGTAGAGACGTCCTCCTAGTGGGGCAGGTGTGGAAGGAATGCTTCCCTCTGACTACAGAATCCACAGACCAGATCCCCTTCTGCCCCTTAACCCTTTCTGCTTCCTCAAGTCTGAATGGGTCATTGTCCTAGAGCTGGCTAGATGTGTGTCACCCAGGATCCTGATGGCTGCTCCCTCTCCTGCAGATTGGCAACACAGAGCAACTGATCCTAAGGATGGTGGACAATTTCAGTAAGTGAGGTAAGTCAGGCACCAGCAAGCTTTCCCCCTTTATAGGAAGGCAGGGATGGTCTCTCTCCCTGAACTTTCCTGGTGTGGCCAACCCTTACCCTTCTCCTTGGACATAAGTTCTGTGAACTGACCCCCACAGTAAGCATAGGACCTCACTGAATCAGACTCACCACTCACCATAGCAAACAAATCCATGTGTCCAGTGTTCCAGTTCAAGCCAAATAAACATATTCAGGGTGTTGGAATGCAGGACCTAAGACCACAGAAGCCTGGGACGGCAGTGACCAGACTAGAACCGAGTGACTTGGTTCTCAAGTTTAATCACACTGGAGTGCTGTGTGGTATCCACCCAAGAGGACCTACACTGGACATCTCCCCCAGCATGGTAGCAGCTCTACCTCACTGGGTAGACCTTGGCTCATGCGGAGGGCTGGAGCTGGACTGGCTGGAGCACAGCCTTTGGATCCAGCAGCCAGTTCTGCAGGGATTCCCTAAGCAGTCTTACCTTGGTCTTCTCTATGTCTTGGTAGCACTTCAGGCCCTGGCCCTTGAACCCTGAGTGAAGATATTCTACATCTACTCTTCTGCTTTTTCCTCAGATTTGCAGTTTGGCATTCCCTCCTGCCCTGCTGAGACCTGAGCTTGAGATGATCTGGGAGCCTGGCCTGTCTGTGTCCTGAGCCTTCTCCCTTCCTGGGTACATTTTGGGCTTTCTTGCCCCCATTTGCTTCTGATGCTGACCTCACAGATGGTCCTTCTAAAGAACCTTCCTGCCTTAGAACCCCTCTCATGGGCTCCCAGTGCAGCATGCACCTCAGGTGTCTCTGACCTGGAGGTGCCTCTGGAGCAGGAATGGATGGGGACTCCATGCCCTGTGGATCTCTGAGACACCAACACTGGCTAGAAGTTGACCTGGTACTGGGCAGAGCACCCTGTGCTAAGTAGCTTAAAGGCACCTTGGGGTATGTACAGGGAACATCTGGTGTGCTTCTCCCACATGTTCAGTTCTTGGCTCCTAGAAGTGACGCTGACCCTAATCCCCACCACCAAACTTGTTTTTAAGTAATTAAACTTTACTGCTTTTACTCAGATTCTGTGCTGGGCCAGGCTGTCCTTATCTGGTTTCTAGTGTGGCAGGTGAAAGCTGGCCCCCAAATATTACAGGAATATTTTGTGATTTTTTTTCTAGACATTTCCACACTGGGAGGAGTAACTACTGGTCCATTTCAACATCAGGGAATTGAGGGGAAGATCTAAGAGGGAGGGTTTGTGGGAGCTGGGTGAAGCTGAGCTAGGAATAGGCTAAAAAGCTGTGGCATCACAAGGAGGTATGGGAAGGGGTCCATGACCTACAGTGTCAATGCAGGAGGCACACTGATCCACTGCAGAGCAGAAGGAGAAAGTGTCCTTGCACATGAAGACACCAGATGATCAGGGGAGCAGCAGAGAGGGGCAGAGGCCAGGTACTGTGGACATGTCCTTCCTTCAGCTGATCCACAGGAAGAGGGGCATCCACTCTGACACAATTCACAAGGAGAAACTGTCAGCAGATGGAGGCTACGACTTTACAGAGAGTCTATAAAGGCCCTTAGAGGGCTGGGGCTGGAGCTCGGTTGGTCACATGCTCACTTAGTATACACAATGCTCTAATTTGATTCCTCAGTATTGTGTAATCAGGGTGTCAAACCAGGTGTGTGAGTAATGGGGGAACCTCAGCACTTGAGATGTGGAGGCCAGAGAATCAGAAGTTTAAGGTTATCCTTGAATATGTAGTGAGTTCAAATCCAGTCTGGGCTATAAGAAACCACCTGCCAGCCCCTCCCTCTGTGTGTGTGTGTGTGTGTGTGTGTGTGTGTGTGTGTGTGTGTGTGTGTGTGTGTGTGTGTTTGCGCACGCATTCATCTATGTTTTGAGATAGGGTGTCTCTGTGTATTCCTGGCTGCTTTGGAACTCTGTGTAGACCAGACTGACCTCAAATTCGAAGATCCACCTGCCTCTGCCTCCTGAGTACTGGGATTAAAGGCATGAGACACAACTGCCTGGCTGAGACATTGTTTTTAAAGAAAGCGTTTGTAGAAAATATGGAGAAATATGTTTAGGATCTTGGGGAAGGAAACATCACAAACAAAACAAGACAGGCTGGCTGTAAGACCAGCCCTGGGACACAAGTTCACAAATGACTAGGGATTCTCTGAGAACAGAAAATGAAAGAATAGGAACTCACACAAGTGGAGACAGGGACACAGGAGGAGGAAGGCAGGTTTAAAACCCAGAGCTGTTTCCCCTTGTTCTGGGCAGAAATGTTGATGGGTTGGAGACAATTCTGTTCATAGGGAGATGTATGGTGGCTTCAGGAACAAGCTTGGAACCTCTCTGTGCCTTAACTGGAACAGACTTTATGATGTGGACACAAATGGTATTTGGATCAGATCCTGCTTTGTCTTGGGATGTCGTGAGTGAGCACACAGGGAGAACAGCAGCATCCCTGACATCTGCCCACTGGACTATAAATGTCTCCAGACATGACCACACGACTGGGGTTTGGGAGTTGAGATTACTTCTGGACAAGAGATCAGTACAGAGAAAGTGCTTGGAGTTCTAAGGGTACCATTCAGGAGTGACCAGTCCCTGAAGCCTGACTCTGCCCCTTCCTATGAGAAGCTGAGTTGGTCCCTAGGAAACTCTCCTCCCCTAGTAAGCCTAGTTGTCAACTTGACTGCATTGACATTTAGCTTGCTATTGACACATATCAAGGTGTGTCTTGAGTGTGTTCCCAAAGAGAACTGAAGGGGAGGACCCACTGTGATGGCACCCTGTCCATGGGCTGCAGGTCTGGTAGAATAACAAATAGAGGAAGGAGTAAGCCAGCTGAGATCCAGCATCCCCCAGTCTTGTTTCTGATCATCCATGAAGTGAACAACTTTCCCTCACTGCAGGATCCTACTGCCTGGATGTCCTGCCCAAGGGATGGTGTTACCCAGACCTGGGGGTTGTACTACTAAATACCTCTTCAGAAACAAACTGGAACACAGACTGGTGGAGGAGTAGTCCATTCAAGCCTGGACTTTGAGAAAATAGGGAAGACACTGCCCATCTTAAAGGATCAGATCTAGGAATATATTAAAGGAGAATGGCTTCTGCTAGAAAATAAGACATAACAAAGCCAGATGTGGGAGAGAAGAATCAGAGGCCTGTGTTAGTTCACTGCTGCTGTGACCAAGATCCTCGATGAAAATGACCTACAAAAGAGAAAGGAGTTGTTTGGCTCCTGTGGGTCATGTTAGAAGCACTTACGCTCATATCATGTGTCAGGGGATGGGGAGAGAATGCACGCCTATTTTCTCTTTCCCCTCTTTTATTCTGACTGGACTTCACAGCCCATGGGATGGCATTCCTACATTCATGGTGTGTGCTACCTCATACCCTCATAAACACCCCAGAGTTGTGCCTCAGTCTCCCAAGTCAGGTGAATCCAGGTACAGAGGAAACCATCAGATGAGAGAGAAGGAACCAAGTCCCATTTTCCCCCAATTCCGAAGCTTGAGAGATGTTTTGAGAATCCAGCAAGTTAAATTTTTATAATAATTCAAGGTATAAACACCCAAGCTTTGCTTTCTTTGCGTACAGAGTCAGAAAGTAAGGTAATGGAAAATCACTGAAAACACACTGTAAAGCAGATTTTTAAACACTGATAAGGGCTCCTAAAAAGCCTTAAATGGGAAGACAGCCTGTGTTGTAGTCCCATGAACTGGGCATTTCACTTTTATACCTCAGTTTCTTCATATATCCAATTGGATGATTACGATAATGAAGCCAGCAGGCAAGGATTAGTGTAATAGCTTGAGACAATATTACAAAAACTTTAAGTTAATATAATTAACTTAATACATTAATAATGTTACTTTACTCTGGTATAGGGCCGACTTCTTCCTTGTCAGCTTCAGCAAGAAAGAAGATACAGAGGTGCTTGTACTCATCGCCTGTCAGGGGCTTAGCACAGACTAATCTTTATGTCAAAGTGGTGCATGTTGGACTCCATGTTCTCCCATAATTCATTTGTGAATCCCATCCCTGTGTATTCCGGCCTTCTCTCTCAGCCTCTCCTGTGCCTTGATGCCCAGACCTATGGCAGCCTCAGGCTGAGGCAGTGCCTGCTGGGAGACACTGGATCGTGTCCCATAACTCTACTCTGCCCTCCGACTCTTCTCAGCCAGGATTTCCCACCTTTTCTCACACCCACAATTTTCATGTTCATTTCTGAATCAGATCATGTAGGTAACAATGGTTTTTTGTTTTGTTTTATTGTATTTATAAATTAGTTTGGAAAATAAATCCTTATATTAACTTAAAGTTTTGGTAATATTGTCTCAAGATAATACACTAATCCTTGTCTGCTGACATCATTATTGCAATGAAACCAATTGGATAGATGAAGAAACTGAGTTATAAAATTGAAATACCCAGTTCATGGGACTACAACACAGCCTGTCTTCCCATTTAAGGCTTGTTTGTGAGCCCTTACTAACATTTAAAAATCTGCTTCACAGTGTGTTTTCAGTGATTTTCCATTAGATTTCTTTCTGACTATGTATGTAAGGAAAGCTTGGGGGTTTATACCTTGAATTGTTATAAACATTTAACTTTCTGGGTTCTCTTATGGGTTCAGTAGTGTTTGAGAAGGTTATTTTCCTCTTATTAATACACACAGTCTTCACTACATATTAGGGCTTCTTGTACAATTAGCAAATTGCTCTTTTTGCTCAAAACATCTCTCAAGCCTCGCCATGGGGGGTGGAATGGGACTTGGTGCTTCTCTCTCATCATCTGATGGTTTCCTCTGTAACAGGATTCACCTGACTTGGGAGACTGAGGCACACCTCTGGGGTGTTAATGAGGGGATGAGGGGCCTCACAGAATGAATATAGGAATGCCATCCCATGGGCTGTGAGAGCCAGTCTGAATAAAAGAGGGAAAGAGAAAGCAGATGTTCATTCTCTCCTCACTCCCT